CCAGCCGTGCCCCGGGAGGAGAGCCGAGCGCCTGGGCGCCTCGCCCCGCCTCAGGTGCCTCCTCCTCCGGCCAGGCAGTCGAACAGCCACCGCATCTCCCGCTGTAATTAGTGCTGCTGCCCTCCATGTGGGCTCGATTAAACCGTGATTTAGCCGAAAGAAATATAATTATGGCTGCAAATAAAATAATCAGCATTGAAGAGCGATTTCCTTAATGAGATGGAGCGGTTGCACGTCACGGAGTAAAGGGGTCTCATTAAGAGGTGGTAATGAGGCTTGGGTGAATATTGGGAGCTGCACAAAATATCTGAAGTGGCGAGAAATCCAGAGCTAGCCCGGAGTGCCTGGGATCTCTCGGCCAGTCACATACCCACTCCCCACGTGGACGGCAAGGATGGGGTCCCTAGGTTCAAGCTGGGCGAGTCTCTACCGTCTGAGGCCCCTCCCACTGTATCTATTTGGGACCCCCGCACCCTCTGCTAAATGGACGTGGACAGCTGGAGACTTAGGGGGGAATTCAAAGCAACATCACACACACCCCGGCCCTTAGCTGGGTAGAGATCCTGAGGCGTTTTGCCAGCACTTTTCAGGCTCTGCCCCATTAGCTTAGCTTTGCTCTAGCATGACACCCAGTGTACAGATGTAAATAGACTTCTAGACACATCCAGTTGCGCCCTTCAGCTGGAGAAGTCAGAGGTAGGTTCGCTGCTTTTTTTCTGATTTCGCAACTGCTTCTGGGCGGTGATCAGATCTCTGGCTCTGGACTTATATAGGGCTTCAACTTGTCATCTAGGTGATCCCTGGAAATAAATATTTGTTTGTTTGTTTGTTTTTAAACGCCATTAGTGTGGCCAGTTTTAATGACAGGCGTGAAACAGCTGGAAGCTTTGCAGATTAGGGCATTTATTTCATCCATCACGTACTTTCGAAATATATACTCTTTAAAACTCAGCTTTGCAGTTGATTGGTTCATAATAAAAATGAGTCACTTGTTGGTAGTTTACTCCCTGCTCTCACACTAGTCCGAGGAGTGAACATTATCCACTGCTCCTGTGCTACATCCTTAAAGCAGCTCCTTTTAAAATAGCCTTTTACTTTACACCTGTCCAGTCTGGCCCCCTAGTGTGTGTATGGGGGGGGGGCGAGGTGGGTTCTTATCTTTTCTCTACGAATAGTCTCGGGATAAAAATGATACAGATGCTCGAAAGATTTAAATCAATAAAATCGAAAACAAAAGAGAGCATCTGAAGAAGAATACAAGTCAATCACACTTAAGTAACAAAGCAAAGAAAATTACAAAATAAGGGAATTAATAGAGCACAAATTA